TCAACTGATTGGGGAGGGGGGAGGGGTGTCGAATAAACAAAGGCGTTGACTTATCATGAATGTGTCCAAGCTATTGTATTTATTTAAAGCAAGTAAAATTGAATATGAATACATCTGACATGTTCATTCCTTCTATTATTGAAAATCATAAACACACAATATACTGACTTCCTTTATCACATCGAGGCCAATCAAATCCTTCATAACTGAAAAAGGACTAATATCACAGACCATAGTCGTGCATACATTTCTATAGTTTCAATGCATATAAAAGATAAACATATGATTCCTGCAATATGCCATTTGAAGTAATTAAAAAAATAGAATTCACAAAATAAGCTTGTGTGTGTCATTTCTTTCATTATTTCATATATAGATATAAGAAGATGTGGTATGAGTGCCAATGAGACAACTCTCCATCCAAGTCAAAATTTATAAAAGTAAACCATTATAGGTCATATATTTAGTTACTTTTCTTCGTGGATGTAAATACAGTTGATGTTTAACTAGTTTTTCGTTTCAATCCATAACTTCTAAATAGAAAAAAATCTTGTCGTTATTAAGAAAAGAAAACTTTTAAGTTACCAATATCAGATCAATTTCATTATATATATATCAAAAATATAATTAATGTTCTTGTTTCTTTTTCAATGACGGAAAGCTATCAATCAAACCTTATCAATAACCGATGAAATATTATCTCTAAAGTAACTTTCTGTTTGTCGTTTCTAAGAAAACAAGTTTTAATTTATGACCTTTTCCAGGCATTTAACCTCGCCCCGAGTTTCTATTTCCGATCTTTGCGGTTTATTTAGCAGTAAGACATCTTATTACTAGTACACACATTATCCATTAAGACCTACATGTAATACAGAGGAAAACTGTTTCATAATCGACAAAAATATGTATTACAGATAAGTTTTGCCTACACATTTGGCGTTTTGTACCACTTTGATTTCAATAATCTTAGTGTTTTTATTTAAGTTTTTGTAGAACTATTAGTAAGGTGTTTTATCACGAATGCATTTCACTATCATGATGCCACAAAGTGTGATTTCTGCGCAAAAAACTAAGTGTGATTTCTACGCAAAAAAACAAAGTGTGATTTCTACGCAAAAAAAAACTTTGTTTAGAATTGCAATAGCTGCCACCAAAAAGAGCTCTTTTTTTGTAGATTAGACCAGGGAAACATTACACAATGGAGAATTTCTTAATCTTAAAATCTTTTTAGAACTTAAAAACATGACGCCATGGAGTATTTTTGCATTCAAAGAGCTCCGCTTACATGTACTATATTTGAAACTAGATAGAGTAAAACTATATACCAATAGACGTTTTCTGAAGAACTAAACGTACAACACCGACAGATTCCACATCTTTTTTTTTCGAGTATGGTGTGTGTATTCCTTCGTGATGTTTCGTGTCATTCTATATTTTTTCAGCTTTCTTTAAATCCTATGGAAACATTGAACTAAGAAATTCTGTGTATGCGGGGTTGGCTACTTGTCAAACTATTTTTTATTCCTAACATTACAAATAATTAGATGTTGTTCCCTTCAATTTTATTGTATTTTTAATATTAGCGAGGTAACTATTACTAAACCAAGAAAAACTATTAAACTTGAGAATTTTAAACTTGTTTCTTGGCTATATTACTTTTATCAAGTACGCTCAAAACAAAACGCTAAGAAAGTATAAAATGGTGTGCATCGTGATATCTTTATTAACTTTTTCAGTTACCAAATTCGGATCTGTCTATATAAAACACCGAAAGAAAGTCGTAATGGCTATATCAAAAACAAATTTGAATTTTAGTATATATACATACACAATTTGATAAAACAATATTCCACTTTTAAAAAGTTTTTCTCAGTTTACACCAGTAAAATCATATAAAGGTTCATTAATGAAAAATCGAGACCAAGTCGTCAATTTTTGTATTAAAAAGTGTAACAAATGTTCTCGAAAGCTCCATTACTGTAAAGTAATTGTGTCGTTATACCTCTACCCATTTTCCCTAGTAAATGAAAACAAAATTCGTATGTTTTGTTGTGGAAAAAATTCTATGCATACAATGCAATTCCAAAAGATGAGTTAACATGACACTTATGCTTCTAAATTTTTTTTTTTAAATTATATTTGAGTTACTGAGTATGCCTTACTCTTACAAGAATTGTAAATTCCGAAAATTATACTAAAAAGATAAAAACAGATGAACAGGAAGTACAATCAAAAGATTGACGTCATGCGCACTTGTGTTGAATTGAAGTTACGCCATGCATTATCTCTATATTCTTTAAAAACGTGACAACTAATAATTTGCGATAGCACTTTGCAGTATTTATCTAAAAAATCATTTTCTGAAAACTCATAATTCTGAGATATAAATGAATTATGTGTTAAATGACATGAAAAAGAATATTGACTTTCAAATGGAATTATTCTCAACTATTTTCATATCGTTCGTCATAAATATTTCACAGGAGTGGTTTTTACGTTAAACTTGAAACCTTAATAGAATAGATATATTTGGTGAGTAATTTGAAAAGAGGGTTTCGTAATACTGCTGAATTTTCTGATGAGTAAAGAACAACCTAAATAAAGATTTGTGGCTTATTTTAAAAGTATGTGGCCTTCAAAGGCAAGACACACATGTAAATTATACAAAACATTTAAAAGTGTATAATTGAAAATCCTTAATATCTGGATTCATAAAAACCATGTTAACTGTATTTTGCACAAAGTGCTGTACTAACATGTAAATATGACGTAGGCTTTATAGATATTGAGAAGTAATGACTCTTTTAGTTCCATGTTTTGCTTATAATTAAATCAATCTTTTTTCATCGAAGGAAAACTACGCATATTATTGAATCTGTCAAAAATCATCAACCATTTCCACTACAATATAACATAAAATTCAATAAATGCTGTAATGTTTTATCTTTGAGGATTTGAGGATTTGTTTATTAATTGGTAAATTCCCGCTTGCTTTCCATTTTACCGAATACATTTCTCTACATACTTTACTATTTACTATAAACCAACCAAAATATAAAACTAGGTTCTGATCATGCATCTTGTGTGTGTGTGTGTGGAATGGGGGTGTGGAGGGGGGGGGGGGGGAGCATTGTTTCTTTTTCTTCGAACATATTTTTGTTTACATTAATTAAAAAAAAAATTTCAATAACATATAGGAACAACACTTTCATTTAAAAAAAACATTGAGTTTTGTTTTTCTTGATTTTCAAAGGAAAGAACAGTTTTTTCATTCCTCTTCTGAAAGCTGAAAGAGAGAGGTAATAAATTATTTTTTTCGAGCAATTTAGGATCTAAATAGAATTCCTCCACCCCACCCCCCAAAACCCCATTATTAAAATAAATTAGAAATTAAGGTTATAGATTAAGATTTCCTATACCTCTTCTCTATGAAACCTCGTGTTGGTTTTCTCAGCTTTCATTGTTTGTTTAATGTTATCGATATTAACCATGTTACATTTATCCTGCAATATAATAATGTATCAAACTTGTTTACTAGGAAATGCTTTACATTTGGGAACTTTTAATAGATATATAAGCAATATTCTGTCATTTTCTGAAAGAAACGTTTACATAAATAGACATAATAATCTTTATTATAAGTAAGTGACATGCGATTATTGAAATAAAATGGATGGTGTGGGATGTATTATATCTCACAATCCTACTACGATGTCATTTGAGACAATCTAAAATAGCTGACGTCACAGAATCGACAACCTTCAGCAATATTACGTGAGATTTAAACAGTAATTAATGAAAAATAACAAACAGTACTCGGAGAAAACAGATAATTGCAAAGTTATAGTAAATGGAAAATTAATAAAACAATGTATAACTCCAAAGAAGAACACAAAATTAATCAAATGAATCCCCTGGTTAATTTGAAGACTAACACACAGTGATAAACCTATATAGAATGATGAGGGTGGTTTTTCACGACCTTTACTACCCATGAGGGTCTTGCACGGTCGGTACTATATAGAATGCATGGTTATTTGTTTACAACTATCTAGTGCAATAAAGAATTTGTTAACCAATTTGAAAATACAAACAAAAAAAACGTTTATAATATGAGTCACCACACTGTAAAAGACACTTAAAAAGACTGATCAAGTCATGATCGCTAAAGTATAAATAATGTTACCCTTTTGCAAAAGGGCATGAAAACGCACAGCAGCGCCAATGATAGACAGTAAAGTTCCTTGTTATCAATAAATGAGCTGCGTCGGATTGAAATCGACCTTATACAAATGAATATCAATACATCTGTTATCCTATTTCTGGTTGAAAATTTCTCTATGCAAAGTCTGTTAGCTACTAACTGTTTGAAAATTGAGTTTTTAGTAAGAACCCTACAAAACAGACCAACATTCATCTTTTATTTCGTTTTTGGATGTTCCAAAATCATTCAAAGTATTATACATGTACATGTATATGTGAACTTGCATAAGGTCGATTTCTACCCGACGCAGCTCAAATTATCTTTCATATTTTTGCACAAAATAAAAATATTGTTTACATTTTGACATAACAGATCACGCCTTCGTGAAAAGGATACAAAAAAGACAAAACTGAAAAATTGCTCTATATAACATTACTTTAATTAAAACACATTTTAATAAGAAATAACTAAAATGGATTGGACAGTAGGCTAAAGTCTATATACTTCCTCTTCGTGGTTTTACTTAACTGTAACACATTTAACAGAGCATGAAAATAACACTTACAAAAAATTGGTAATAAAAAAATTAACCAATTTTAAAAATATCTTAAAATATTTTAAAAATAAAAAGATTGCATGCTTAACGTCATTTGAGGATCACTTTATTCTATAGAGCAGTTATTTATTTTGTTTAAAATTTAAAAAGGAAAGAATAACATATTTAAACACTAAGGCAATTTAATATTAAAAATATTTATAATAACTTTTAATTATTTATTCTAAATTACTTCCCCCATTTGTGTATTGTATTGACTATTGTATACTTAATGCTTTTACAGAAGTCCCTATGCTGTACCTTTTACACTGTGCTAAATAATTTGACGTCCTGTTTGAGTTAAACTGGCGGAGGATTTTCTTATCCGTCTCTGTGTGCTGCGACAAGGAAAGGTACGAGATACGTATATAAAACAACCATAACTAAAGCAGGTATAATGTAGAAGGTACAATATTATAATCAATTAAATTTGAAAATAAAAACAAAAATTATCTGAGACGATCAGTTCGTAAAGTTAAGATTTGTCTTGGGTTGTCAGTGTAGGTATTAAAATGGTTTTAGGTTGAAAAGGTTATAATGGTTATTGTCATTTACAATGGTTCAGAATGGTTTAAGATAGTTAAATCATAGTTATGTTTTCATATTTTTACATCTTTTTTTCTGGATAGCTTGGTTGGGGGTTTCCCCTATGTATGTTAATTTCATAACATTTGTAACATATTATAAATAGGTTTCAAAGATTGTTAAAAATAAAACTTACTAAACGAATGCATAACTTACGTGATTCCTTAATTACATATTTGTCATTTGGTATAAAGAATAAATCTTTCATTTGCAATATCTTAATTTTCCGTTTAAAGTACATGCGTTTCATCTCTTGTAAACCCTAAATATTGTTCTATTCACACTTTTCGAGTTGTTTTGATCAACTGATTTCCATTACTACTGTTTATTAAAAGGACCATATTTTGCTTAATATACCATGTATCTGAGCAATAGTAAAATATCATTATTATAAAGCATTTTATGAACGCTTTAAATTCTCATCTGCAAATGGGCTATATAAAATACGCATTATGTAAAAAAATGTAATGTAATGTTATGTAATACAATGATATTATGTAACGCAATGTAATGTAATACATGTATAATGTAAATGTATACATTCTAAAACACCAAAATGACTATAATAACAATATCACAATAACGCTAAACCCTGATATTAAGCCTATCTTATCCCAGAGATAGTTAACGCCAATCATTGGTGAATATGATACTGGAGTGAAATATCCGGGCAAATCCTGCAATTTGATTGGTTACCGTTACAGGGGATCCGAGATATATCCCATGTGAACAAAAAACGAAGACCAGAATTGTACTCGATGATTGTAATTACTATTGAACACGACGGCTGCCACATGTGGATCAGGATCTGCTTACCCTTCCGGAGCACCTGAGATCACCCCCAGTTTTTGGTGGGGTTCGTGTTGCTTAGTCTTTAGTTTTCTATGTTGTGTCATCTGTACTATTATTTGTCTGTTTGTATTTTTATTTTTGGCCATGGCGTTGTCAGTTTGTTTTCGATCTATGAGTCTGACTGTCCCTCTGGTATCTTTCGTCCCTCTTTTGAAGTATAATATTATTGTAATTGGGGCTAAAAATGAGATACGGGCACACATTCCTTATGAAGATCACGAAAATGTATGTTTTGAAATCCACTGCACTAGGATATGAACAACATTTGTAACGCATTATATGGTTTGTTACTTACTTACCTACTTTCTGCCCGGTATGGCATTGGCATGTAGGCCAGCAAAAAAGGTGACGTATATAGTGTAGTGGCATATCAAATTTATCTAAGGTTGAAAAATTACCGTTTGATCACTGATTGATTGTTATTGTAATAATTTCAAAGTGTCTTACAATCATATTATATTTTTTTAATAGCACGCACACATATGTTATTTTATCTACCTATATTACTATCAACTATCAAACGCAGAAAAGTTTGAGATAGTATCCTCATCTTTTCGTAACACTTTCTCTATTTTTGTGATTCGTTGCTTCAGTTTTTGTTGTGTTGTATTGAAGTCGGCAAGCAGACGTGCAAATCGAGTTTGAAGTGTATCTAGACTGCCATCAATGCGTTGTAGCTTTTGGTCCGTTGTTTCTTCTTGAGCTTCCATTTGCTGCATAAGTTCTTCGTCTAGAAGGTTGTCTTTTCTTAAAATTTTCTTTCCTTTGTCTATCAAAATTTGTTTTGCATCAGGGTATTGTGTTAATACTTCCCACAGATCATCTTTTGATAAACAGAATAAATCACTATATCCAATACTACGGATATTCGCGGTTCGTCTGTTACCATGCTTGTTCCCTGCAATGTTTAAAATGCTTATTTCTCCGAACACGCTACCTTCTCTTAAAGTAGCGAAAATCTGTTTTCCATCATCGGAAACCACACCTAATTGTCCTCGTTTGACAATGTACATTTCTTTGCCTATATCCCCTTTACGACAAATATAATCACCAGGACTGAACACTTGCAGTTTTAATTTTAGCACTAATTCAACTAAAAGTCCTGGTTCGCAGTCTTGAAATAGCGCTACCCGTTTCAACGTATCTAAATGCACGTGAATTGCAATTTCCGCTTTTAGTTTGTCCGGAAGTGACATCAGCACTTCCTCTTCGTTTAATGATTTCTTATTGGTCCACAAATAGTCAAACCATTTAATCACACGTTGTTCTAATTCTTTCGTAACCTTTCGAAATTCCATGTATTGCTTAACCCCGTCCATCTTTGATTGAAATTCTGCACGCGCTGCGTTCATGTTGGTAATCATGCTACCAACATTGCCAACAATGGTAGCGAATATTAAAACACCAATAAGAAAATCCACAACAACGAACAAAAACTCGATGTCTCTTTCTGGCGTCGGGGTTTCCCCGATTGTTGTCAAGGTCAATGTAGACCAATAAAAACTATAGATGTACTTTCTAGTCAATCGTGCATTTGTTGGGTTATTTGTGGTATTTGGATACACCCAACCATCACTTCCAAATCCTATTGCATTGCTCATAGCAAAGTATATACATGCGTTCCAATGAATGATAATTAATATGTACAAAACAAGGTTCAGAATACGCACCATATTTGTAAAGCTTGTACGAGTTGCTGTGCGATCGAAAAATTCCAAAAGTCTATTGAATCTTAAAATTCTGTTAAACCGCAACTCTGGTACACTGGTACCAGTTATTAGATAGAAAAAGTCGGTAGGTACAATGCTGAGTAGATCTGTTTTGAAGTTTGTTGAACTTAAGTAATTTTTTCGAAGTTTTGAAAAATCTCTGACAAGAAGACCCTCTTCAAGATAACCTAAAATAGACAAGAACAAAATTATTTATACACTGCGCTTACAAATACTGTTGAAAAGTCGTCATTTGATTAAAGATAAATATATACGAGTTTTTATTGTACCTACTTACTAAACAGTTGTTTTAGGCGTAATTCAACTTGATCAAATTATAGACACTATGTTTGCTCTTCGCGTACATCTGACAATGCTCTCTTATTCTTTATTTTCTAAAGATCTTTTCGGGATTCTCGGGATAAGTTGTAATAAAAACATGCCTTCATTGGAGGCAGACATTTCATTGCTCGTCATAATAGTTATCAGATAAAAACGGAGCAGTAGTATAGCATTATAACCGAAGCGTCAACACAGTGGTACAATTCATGACCAAAAAACGCAACGCACAAATAACAAAACCTAATGAACAGAGCTTTTATTGCTGTTCTTTGTATCACGGTGTAAAAGGAGCTAACAATTCATCATAATACAAGTTCAAGATGAATTTGCTAGATATCGATTGCATAACATATTCAATTCACAAACTCACTGCTAGTGACGTCTTTACACTAAATCCATTGGATGTTGTATGTGTACTGATTGATATTTTAGTCTTAGACACAATATTTCTTATTAGTTGACAATAGTTGTTGTTGGCTTTTAATAAACTTTTAGTAACTTCGAGCACTCACAGATCTTTACTTTGTGTCTTTTGTGTTTGTTTAGGGGTTTTGTGTGCTTTGTATCGATGTGGATCAGTTAATCCCTTTTCAACTGATTTTTATATGTTCTTATGTTGTACTGTTACAACACTGTCCCAGGTTAGGGGGAGAGTTTGGCGCAAGCAAGCATGTTTAACCCCCGCCACATCCTGTATGTTCCTGTCTAAATTCAGTGGTTGTTATTTGTTTCTGTATATCATATTTGTTTTTCGTTTATTGTTTTGGTTATAAATCAGGCCGTTAGTTTTCTCGTTTGAATTGTTTTAAACTTGTCATTTCGGGGACTGTTATAGCTTACTATGCGGTATGGGTTTTGCTCATTGTTGAAGGCCATTCTCTGGTAGAGTTGTCTCATTGGCAATCAAACAATATCTTCTTATTTTCATAATAGAAGTAATCTCTAGAATAAATAAGCAATAACTATATCTGTTTGATCTTTTTTCAGATTTCCTGAAAATAAAATTGTTGAATTTCCCTTTCAAGAGTGCTCTTTTACGGAAAACATGATTTACTATAATAATACTTAAAATATACTACGGATTGTACCCTGTTAAATCAATGTCGTTTTGTCAAAATGCGTTTCATCCAAATTTAATATAAATAAAATGAGATGTTGGATACATTTAAATGAGACAATAAACCCCAAGGACTTCAAGATCTAGGTCAACATACATTTTCCGAATAGCAGATACCTGCATGACTGTCTTTATAATACGCAAAGCTCTAAATAGCCCCCGAGTAGAAACAAATCATGACTTAATTTATCAAATGCTATCAAAGATCAGTCGTCAATACTAGATTCCCTAAATTATAACCAAAAATATCAAAATATTTTAAAAGGCAGTCCCCTGACTATAAGTTCCTGTCTTTATTACGACACTTTAACGTGACGGGGTTTTAAACTAGTATCTTTAGATTGATTTTAATATCGATCAATCAAAAATTAGAGACAAAGGTTATTTTTTTTTTTTTTTTTTTAATTACTTGGCTTTTTTGGTACATGTATGTGTAGCTGTCGTATTGTTCAATATCCTTCATTTTTGTTTTCTTCAAAGCTTTGACTTGAGTTACAACAGCAGGAAAAAGCCAATCCATTATCAACTTTGTGTAGGAAAAGATGATTGTACCGATCCCAATAAGACTGAATAATCATACATGTCATGGAAGACAAAAAATAAAGATTTGCAAGTCGTATATTTCTTTTAACATATATCTTATCTATTCAATTATGTGTAATATTAATTCACGTGACATGCGTGAGAAAGAAAAATATCAGGTTGTATAAGGACTACAGTTTGTCTTATTTCCTTCATTTTATGGAAAATTGTTTCCTATTAAAAGCTTTTTTTCGCATACAAGAGAAGTCATAAATCTTTCGTCGTCAATAGATCTGTTGATTCTAGGAAACAATATCTAAAAGCCATTAAACCTTAAAAGATTCTGAATTATAGCCTTAAAATGATCTCATTATCTTAAAATGTTACTTTTCGGATGTTACTTCAGAAATTTATTAACTGAGCGGATAATTTATATGAAGCTAGCACGTGAACACGTGTCGTCTGCGAAATACTCATACATTTTGTACCTGTATGACGTCAAAAGACAACCGGAGCTAGAGGAGAAAAGGGTGGTTGATTGCTGTTTGACTATTTATTAATTAATGATTTCCAACAAATAACAAAAATAAACTGGCAATACGTCATTATCATTTCGCTAATTCTCATTCAACATATATAGGTCTGGAGTATTTATGTTTTAACAGTAAAGATGAAAATCAAATCATTTTTTTCACCTCTCTCGAAGACGATATTTTTTCTCTATCAAATGCTAATATTTAACTAGTTGATGAAAACGCAAACATTTTGTCGCTATTAGCGAACCATCATTTGTCATGTACCCGGATGTTCAGTTTCCGAATGCATTACTTCCGAATGACGTTGCTATCAGTCAGGGTTGACATTAAGCAATTTTTTCCTCTCTCGCAGTTGACATTTTTCTCTATTAAATATTAATATTTGATTATATTTTGAATACACAAAATATGTTGTCACAATTAGCGTGTAAACATCTATGCTCCCGGATGTCATTACTTCCGAATGGCGGATAATATTCTCGTGCAATCGTTCAGGGATGACATAAAGCCATTTTTTTCTCTTTCGCATTTGACGTTTTTCTCTATTAAATATAAATATTGGATGAAGTTTTTAATACACAAAAAATGTTGTCACAATTAGCCTGCACAAATCTATGCTCCCGGATGTCATTACTTCCGAATGGCGGTTAATTTGCCCTCGAAATGTCATATCGTTACTTGTCTATATATATGACTTTGTTTGAACAGTTAATTGACTTGTTTAGAATGATATTGGAAAATAAAAGAACATTTCGGAGATATTGGATTAAATAATCAAACACAAAACAATTATCTGATTTCGTGACAAGAACGCATCCAAATGTTATGTCTTTTTGTAATTAAATCAAATAAATAAAACTGGAATTATACATGGCATTAGTACATCAAACAGCTTGTTAAACTGGTTTGAAATGCTGATTTTACAACGTTGTTGAAACTGTAAAACACCCATGGTCAGTGACTGTTGAAATGTTTTGATGCTATTTGTAGAAATCAATTTAAACCCAAAATGACACAGACACTTTCGATAAAACATTTTATACACGATATATATTTCTATATTAAATAAAATTCAAACATGGATTTATATCATAAACTACATGGTTTGAAAAAAAAGAGACATATGTAATTTCCTTGAAATTCTGAATATAGCATATTTTATCCAAATATATATGAAGAGTACAAAGGAGGAGGTATGATATAGAGTCATTATCTGGTCCCTGAACTCTGGTGTATATTTTTCTCATTGGCAATCATACCACATCTCTTTATTTTTATATTAAGGTTCGGTCTGGTTTTCTATTTCGAGTCATTTCTATTAACAAGATAGTTTGTCCATACGCTTCCATTAGCAAGAATGAAAGTAGGGACGCAAGAATATATAGAGTATAATTATCAGATCGTTCAAGATGTCTGGACGATAAAACATTTGTAAAGAGAAAACTGTACCGAAATAAGCAAAAGTTTGGGAATCTGAAGTAAGATATGTTGATCTATGACATTATTCAATGAATCAGACAACTCATATCGAGTGCAAACGGCTACACATCAAACTCGTCGTGGCTACATATCAAGATCAACGTTGTTATCAGCTTTTAGAAGTTTGTATTAGATTTTAGATTTCAAATATTTTGTCCTCGAGCATCACTAAAGAGACATAAATTGTTGAAATTTCGCATTATGTGCAGACAAAATGCCCCTGATAATGCTATTAAATGTATAAATGATAAGATGTGGTATGATTGTCACTGAGACAACATTCCACTAGAGACCAAATTACGTAGAAGTTAGCAACTATTTAGGTCACAGTACGGCCTTCAACAATGAGACAAACTCATACCACATAGCAAGATATACAATGCCCAATCAGTATTAATGAAATGTAAAACAATTTAATCGAGAAAATTATGGCCTGATTTAAGTAAAAGACAATAAGCAAAAAAATAATATAATAAACAGCAACAAACGGCAGCCACTGACTTGGAATAGACACAATCATGCAAAATGCGACATTGTTAACATGTTTGCGGGAACTCCAAATCTCCCACACACATGGGATAGTGGTGTAACAGCTCAACATAAGACCAAACTATAAAAATCAGTTGATATATGCATATTTTCAGAAACGACCGTACCAAATGCACCAATATTTTACAGTGAGTATATATATTGCAGTGGCAAAATCCTGAACACTCCTTTTAAAAATGGTAGATTCCTAAATATTATATTTTTTTATAAATACCTGTTTTGAGAGAGACAACCATATCTAATATGTACAAGAAATCACTACAGTAGTCCAGAGTGAACCATAAAGCTGTATACTCTTGTTGCATCTCTATAAATGTTGCTCGAGCGATGATGAAAATAATATTGTAAAGGACGGCAATAGATATAACAAATAACCAACGATAGTAGTAAGACTGCGACGGATCCACAACAAAACCTTTCCAGTATCTGAAAAGAAAAACATATTTTTAACGGAAATTGCATGTTTCTTGTAATCTGAAGGATTGTTTGGTGAGCAGCCACAGCGTTTTCTTATCTTTCCTTTTTCATTCTTTCTTTTTCGAAAGGGCAAAAAAAGGGGGGGGGGGGGTAAGTGTTCCACATGCCTCATCTTTTTATCAATAGTTGTCTTAATCTTATTTCTTGTAATATTTTGTTCTTTGTTATCTTTGATTATACCGTTGGTTTGCTGTTTTACAAATTTTTCGGTACGTTTCCATGGTGATTGAAAACTAACGTTGTGTCCATTACTAGCGAGATGATTCCACTCGAAATATCGTTCAACATATATGGAGGCAAAAAAAAACCTCGTTGAGTCTAACCATGAAAACGAGCAGCACGCATTAGAATGTATTTTTATGAATTTGCATACGCATATTTCAATAGACAAAGTCATTTTGATTTTTAAAAAAAATGGCTAAACCAATGTATTACTAGTATATTCTAAATAAATTTCATTTTAAACAGAGTCTTGGAAAAGATTTGTTCTGAGATCAATCTGATATCAGAAGAAATTTATAATCTCTCAAATTCCGATGGTGACAATATCTCCCTCTGAGTGTGTAATACATTTCTTTGTTGGTTTAGCTTAATATCCAGTGGCAAATATCACATATTAAATAAATATATATACATATATATACAAGTCTAAATTGAAAACAACGTTCAAACCTATGATTGCGTTGGATAAAAACCGCAATTTTTACACGTGTGCATGCAAAACAAATTTCTTGGTAGAGGGGTCTAAATACAGCACAAACAACATTTCCAAAAGACCAAAAAAAAGTGAAAAAGTATATTTTAACAAAACGCATTTGACTAGCAGGTCGAACAACGGATGTTCTTAAACCCTGCTGACTGCAATTGGCGATTGCCAAATAAACGGATCACCAGATGTAACAAAATGGATCTTAACTATTAATTTAATACCAAACAGAAAACAATAAAATTGCGGAAAAGATGGTATACCGCAAACAAAAGGTGCGAAAATTAGTACACCATATCCGGATTTCGACAATTAATGTCTCTTCAGTGATGTTAGGAATCGAAACGGTATTTGGAAAGCCATACAATTTACGTCAATTTTGGATAGACTCTTGAATTTTGAAGAGTCGAAATAGGATGAACGGATCATATTAACATATTGTATATATATATATATATAATGTCTAAAAATAGCAACAATCAACATCCAATCTATTTAGGCTTGGATCAGCTTGTGAAAATAAACTGATACAGTTACTGAATTAAAATTATATAAATGCCTAAGAATATAACTTAAACACGCTAATTGATACATTTAAAAGTTCTATTAGATTTTAGATAGAAATACGCAATATTTCGCTAGACAAACTAGCTTCATAAGGCGTGTGCATCTATCAAGGTGAAATCGGATGCATGACAAAAAAATATTTTTGTAGCTTAAAACTTCACAAAGTTGGAGTAAAAGTTTAATATATTTATTGATGTTCTATAAAAAAAAATATATATTTTTGTAGCTTAAACTACACAAAGTTTGGGTAAAAGTTTAACAAATTTATTGATGTTCTGTAAATTGTACAAATCTCAAGATTATTGTTTTGATTTGTTTTTAAATCTTTTCTCGTCTCTCTCATTGAATCCATCAGGTTCAAGAGTTCGTAACTGATTCATCCAAAATCTCTCTCTCTCTCTTGTCTTCCTTGAGTGTCCCAATTTTGGTTTTTCTCAATGATTTGAAATGTGACGTTTTCAAAATCATGCCCTTCTCTTAAAAGATGTCTTGTGATTGGGCAGTTTCTTTCTTTTGTATAAAATGACCGATTGTTATTCAGTCGGATGTTGAATGGTGTTTCTGTTTCACCAACATATTGCAACTTGCAAGTTCCACACGTTAGAACATAAATACAATTTTGCGTTTTGCAATTGGATGTTATGAATATGTTGTATTTATTCTTTGTGACTGTGCTGACGAATTGGGTTTCAATGTTGGCGACTTTGCAGCACTTACAATTGCCTCTTCCGCATGGTTTATAACCTCCTATTGTCGATATCTCTTGTTTAGATGCTTTAGATGTAACTAGAATATCTTTGAGGTTTTTGGGTCTGCGGTAAGCCATAACGGGAGGTGATGGAAAAATCTCTTTTAAGGAAGGATCATTTTCAACAAGACGCCAGTGTTTGTGGACAATAGATGAAAGATTTGCCAGATCAGGATGAAAGCTGACAACAAACGGAATTTTATTTGTCTGGGCCGTCTTTTCTTTATATTCAAGTAGGTTTGTTCGGTCTTTTTCGTTTGCTTTATCGAAAGCTTCTGAAATGTTTTTTTTTCTTATAACCTCTTGATTTAAGTTGTTGTCTGAGTTGTCCCAAACGGTGGTTTAATTTTGATTCCGATGAGCAAATCCGCTTTAACCTGATAGCTTGACTGTACGGAATGCTTCGGGAACAGTGTTTTAGGTGACAACTCTTCGGAGAGAGAAATTGGTTGTTTTTTTTTTTGTTTGGTGTGAAGGTCGGTTGTCATGTCTCCGTTTTCTAAAGTTATGGTGGTGTCGAGAAACGCAATTTTATTTTTTGAAACTTAAATGTGAACTTTATAGATTGATGAAAGTTATTACAGAAATCTAGAAAATCTTGTAGATGTTCTGCAGTTTCGTTCCATTTGATGTCGATGTCATCAAAATAACGGATCCAAGACAAGGGTTTGTATGGTACATTCGAAAGGATGCGTTCTTCGAGACTCCCCATGAAAATATTGCAAAAGAAGGTGCCATTTTGGTTCCAATACTGGTACCATCAATCTGCAAGTAGTGCTGGTCGTTGAATATAAAATTGTTGTTTTCGAGCACTAGTTTCAGCAACTGAACCAGACAGTCGGTTGGGGGATTTTTATCCTTACGATTGTTCCATACTTTTTCACAATCGACTACTCCTTCATTCTTTGGAATATTGGTGCATAAAGAACACACATCCATCGATACCAAAATTGTGTTGTTTGGTAAGGGATTTAATGAATCCATTTCCTTCAAATAATCTGTTTTAAAAACTATCTTGAATGTAGGATGACATTGTTCTAACATGTGGTCTAAGATGGTAATCAACGAATTCGGATATTTTTTCGGTTGGGTGGCCATTGGCAGATACTATCGGTCTTCCCGGAATCCCTTCTTTATGAAGTTAATTTTGGGAGCAAGTAAAATCGACCGGCTGTGCAGGTATATATATATATGGATATGGTGTACAAAAAACTTTGCACCTTTTGTTTGCGGTATACCATCTTTTCCGCAAGTTTATTGTTTTCTGTTTAGTATTAAATTTAAAATTAAGACCCATTTATTACATCGGTGATCCGTTTATTTGGCAATCGCCAATGGCAGTCAGCAGGGTTTAAGAACATTTGTTGTTCGACCTGTTAGTCAAATGCGTTTTGTTAAAATATACTTTCTCACTTTTTTTGGTCTTTTGGAAAATGTTGTTTGTGCTGTATGTAGACCCCTCTAACAGGAAATTTGTTTTGCATGCACACGTATAAAAATTGCGATTTTTATCCAACGCAATCATAGGTTTGAACGTTGTTTTCAATTTAGACTTGTTTATATTTTTTCGTTTGGGCTTGTATTATATTTGCCTTCGGGTTTATATGATCCGTTCATCCTATTTTGACTCCTCAAAATTCAAGAGTCTATCCTAACTTGAGGTAAATTATATGGCCTTCCAAATACCGTTTCGATTCCTAACATCACTGAAGAGACATTAATTGTCCAAATCCGGATATGGTGTACAAAAACCTTTGCACCTTTTGTTTGCGGTATATCATCTTTTCCGCCAGTTTATTGTTTTCTGTTTAGTATGAAATTTATAATTAAGATCCATTTATCACATCGGTGATCCGTTTATTTGGCAATCGCCAATGGCAGTCAGCAGGGTTTAAGAACATTTGTTGTTCGACCTGTTAGTCAAATGCGTTTTGTTAAAATATACTTTTTTGGTCTTTTGGAAAATGTTGTTTGTGCTGTATTTAGACCCCTCTATATATATATATATATATATATATATATATATACAAGTCTAAATTGAAAACAGCGTTCAAACCTATGATTGCGTTGGATAAAAACCGCAATTTTTATACGTGTGCATGCAAAACAAATTTCTTGTTAGAGGGGTCTAACATACTTCGGTACTGACATGATTTATAACAAACCTTTCTAAAATTGTCCGTTTATAAATTTTGAAATTATAAAGAAACTAAGGTTTCAACTCCCTCAGGCAAAGTTGACCTTAGATGAATTTGGCTATTTGTTTTATGTATTTTTGTCATATAGCTCTTCAACTGTTTCGGTATTTATACATCCCTCGGATTTCAAATGTTTGGCTTTGAGCGTTCCTGATGAAGGTAAATCCAGAAAAGCGCTTCGGACGCATGCAATTATTAAACGTGTTGTTTTCAATATTTTGTACAATAAATCAAACAAATATTAAGTTAGTGATATTTCTTTAAAAAAAACTCCTTTATCTAAGAAACTGACACACATACCAATTACCAGTTTCTTTATTTTTTCTTCTTTTTTCCCAGTTTAAGTGTGCATGTGTTTGGTTTGGTTGCTGTCATAAATACTTGTTCAATAAGAATGTCATTACGCAGCGTACCATTGTTGCTATTTTAGTTGCTAACACAGAAATCGTTTTCACAATGGTACAATGTCAATGGTACCATTCATGTTTCAAGAAGGAACAAGAGTGTCGATAGCATTTATTTCCATACTTCTATCTTTATTAAATACTATTATTAAAAATGAATAAAATCTGCATCGAATTTCAACAAAAAAGTCATACGTCTTTGATCTTAGATACGTTCTTATATATCAAAAGCCAGGTTTCTTTTAAATCTTCTGACCTTGTTCGAGTTGAGAATTTTATTTAATTAAATGCAAAGCAATCCATTATTTACTGTTTCAATATTGAAATGGAAAAACAATGTTTGCCGTTCAGCTCAAATGATGGAGCCAAGTATTAATATCATTATTTATCACACTTATGGAAATTTCCTGCCTTGTTCATGATAAACGATATTCATTAAAGCTCGGTGGAATTAAAATTGATTTATTTGAAAAAGTTCGCGTCAAAGTATGGGCACATATAACCTTCATTTGATCAATTAATAATATCTCAGTTCAAACTAGATATGTACTGAAGTGACCGAGAAAGAACAACCAAAAATCGTTTTTGAAGGTTTCTTATTTTTACATACGGGTTACTTTATAATAAAAGCCCGCCTTGAATTTACGATGAGGTGTGAGATTTTGCTCTACGTTGAAGACTAGCTCACTTTGACGTTGAGATGAAGAATTGTAATTAATATCTTTTTTTTTAAATGCATGTAGTGATTTAATGTGATAAATTAATACACCATGTCGCATCTTTTCCATTATGTATACTAGTTTTTATGTTGTGAAATCTCTCATTCACAAAAAGCATATTTTTCTGTTTCATTGATTCCGTCTGTAATACCATAGATGTTTCTATTTGTTCCACGTGTAGATGGCTTCACAGTATAAAAGACATTCATTAATACACTCAAGATGGGAAAATGTATTTCACAGGCTTCGTCTATTGGAGATTTTCATTGATAATTTCTTAGAAAGTTTTGTACCGAACTTCCTCCACGAGGAATTTGATTGGACGCGTGATGAGGTCACCTTGTAATTACATAAATCACAAGATTGTACCGTGCTAATCACATGATCTCAATTTTTGTCGTGTTTCAGGGAAATGAAAATGTTTGATTACATGCTTTATAACAATTAATTTAAACATTTCACATAGGTATTTATATCAAGATATTTAGGAACGCAATCTAATGATTTCCACTCTGTAATTTTTCAATCTTGACTGTGATAAAAAATAAGAATCAGCCTATGCAAATGCAGAAGTTAATCCCATTTTTTCAGAGACATTTGTTTCGTATAGAATTGGTAAGTTCTTACAGTTCAATTTGTTTGGGCGATAGCTTAAGGCATTGAGAAAAAATATACATTTGTCAGATCGTTTTGCTGCCGATAACAAGAAAAGTCCAGATGCAGATTTATTAATTAAGATATTTTCTTTCCTCAAGATTACTACGACAGAAAAATAATAACTCATTCTTGATCAAGATAAAGAAATAGATTATTATGGAATTGAAATGTCTACCAGTTTTTATTTTGATGCTTTTTTCGTTGAGGAAACACATTCATATATATAAACATATCCCATAATTCATTGCGGGATTGACGGAGAAATTGACAAATGTTAGTGTACAGACTTCCAATTAATTTCAGTCAGACATATACGAATTGTTTATTTTTTTATTATTGATTTGTGTTTCCGTGCAAGGACATTTTCTATTAAGTGGACACCGTCCGTTCGGGAAATAATGCGGTTGATTTATTTACTAAATTACAATTCTGTTAAATGGGCAATCGACATAGAGCATGTAGATTTTCTAAAATTAATCAGAAATTGTAAACAACCTTCTCTGTTAACGCTGGGAAATGGAGGACAAAATAAATTGTGTCTATACAGGCAAAAAACTCATTAATAATAAGCTAATCAAACAAAGAAAAAAAAAAACGATAGGGTGAAATAAGATATAGTACTTCGATGGTGGTTCAACTATTTCTTATACCTACTATATAGTTACTAACCGCTTACGATAGTTTTGTTTTTCTTTCTATATTCACAGTATCAAACATTTCAAATAAAGAACATCTACATGTATACTTAGACAATAACGGTGAAGTGTAATGGTATGTGTGCAATGATACTGGAACCAGATTTAAAAAAATAAAAAGCAGAGAAGATGTGAGATTTTGCCGAGAGTAAACACGACCAGAATCCTGAATATGCACTAGATTTATTGAATGATTGTTGTTTTCTAAAGTCCAGTGGTAAATATTTCATGCATGTCCAGGAATTATGCTTGTGAGATTTGTCACCAGACGTATGCATGTAAAACACAAAAACGTTCTGAAACAAAAATCCTACAAAGTATTTGGAAACTGCAATTTATCGAAGGAATACAAATGTGCGATTAATTGCATTATTTATTGGCTTTCATTCGACATGTTAAGATCTGCCAATAGCGACATTTTCTATATCTATAGTCAGCAATAGTCTACAAGACTTTCGTAGGAGAGCTGTAATTGTTACATGACTGTGATGACTAACTATTCACTATACAGTACATCCTCATGTCTGCTATTTTGACAGTATGGTATTTATTTATTTGTTATGTGATGACTCTGTACAACATTTGGAAGGTTTTATACATAGCTACGATATGTTTAACTGCTATTTTATAGTTTGCATTTAATGTAGTTTAAAGCATGTCTGAAAAAGAGCATTAATTTCTAGAAAGACATGTTGATATCAAATTATTGGTTCTTAGCATGCCTAATATACACATTTGTCTTTCATTCTTCTTAAGTGTGACGTAATTTAAACATTTAAGCAGCATTTTATAAAGACTGAACTTTTGGGCCCACTATAAGTTTGTCAAATTGCATAATCTAAGAATAAAAGTTACGCAAAGCAGAAGCACAAAATATAGTTGGCTCATTAAATACCTATTTATTAAAGCACATTCTTTCCATCTATTGTGTGTGTTTAAGTGTGTATATGGGGAGGGGGTCGGTCATTTCAAAAAAAAATGTTTCAGAAGGATCATAGTGAAACAAAAATAATTTGTTTCTATCTAAAATATATTTAAAATCAAAATCAACATTGCATGAAAAAACAAATTTTGTTCTTGCATGTTATTGTGAAAAAATAGTTTGCATTCGCATAAAGTTTAAAAAAAAATAGTATGTCAAAAGAACAAAAACAATGGTCCTCACAAAAGATGAATGGTGGTGCCTATAAGATAAATGACAAAGATGTTGTGACTGTACAATGTCAAGTTCATTACGTGTTCTTATGAACCAATAACATTCAATACTGTTATTTCTAATCAACGGGACCTTTTTTCGTATCAGGTCTCTCTATTTTTCTCTCCGGGTACTCCGCCTTCCTCCACCACAAAAAACGGGTCACTTTAATACGGCCAAGTGTGCTGTAAGTCGTATTAAACACCAACAATCAATTAATCATATTTACCTGATATCTGAGATTTTTCTTGTCCGCCGATCTCCTGGCGTCAGTTTTGCCTCTGTTCCACCCATTGCGACTCTTTCCAAAAACGAATCTGGTCGCTGTGGCAGCGTCCGTGCTTTCCATCTCCCTGATGCCCATGCTTTTATCACCTTAAATTATAAAAATAACAAATTGAAAAATTAAAGGTTTATAAATAAATGTATTATACTTTTTGTATATATACATATTTTGTCTCCGGTGGAGAGTTGTCTCATCGGCAATCATACCACACCTTAATATTTTTATATTGGTGAACGTTACTCGCTTTGCTGGCGAAATCCTAGCGATGACACACACAGCCTTCGTTTAAAGTTTCTCATTACCTGAAGATCGATCTTAGTTAGTTACAATTTTATTAAACATAATTTGTTTCAAACCGGAATAAAAATAAGGAAATGTGATATGACAACTACTAGTATCCACCAAAATTTTGTGGATGTAAGCAATCTTACGTCACCGTACAACCTTCAACAATGAGCAAAACCAGTATTGTATAGTCATTTTAAAAGGTCCTCCCCGACATTACAAAATGTGAAACATTGCATACGAGAAAACCAAGGTCCTGATTAATGACAAATCGAAACACATTTGTATTTGTATAATCGAAACACATTTGTATTTGTATTTGTGTTTTCGTGTCATGTTTTGTGTGTTTTAGTTTGTGATTTTTTCTTATTTATACTTTATTTGTGGGGTCGAGGAGCATTGGATAAGAGAGTTATCAGATGTCAATGACATGAAACAATTCTTATTTTTTGTAAAGTATTCTTCTTTAGTTACGAGTGGCTTTTTTACGAGTTCCAATAGATTCATATGATGTGTCCTATTTCCATTCTTCTTTGATACTTCGTTTTTTAAATTCCAAGTAAACTTTAATTACATTAAGAAACTAACATGGATCCTATCGTGATGCAATCGATGAATAAATAATGTCATTGTCTGAATGTCATTGCATGAATGTCATTGTCTGAATATCATTTTCTGAATGTCATTGTATGAATATCATTTTCTGAATATCACTTTCCGAATGTCATTGTCTTAATAACATTGTCTGAATATCATTGTCTTAATGTCATTGCCTTTATGTCATTGCCTTAATTTCATTTTCTGAATATCATTGTCTGAATGTCATTGACATTACAAGACAAAAGACATGTCTTATTCTTTTTGACGATTAATCTAAAGCTCCATGAAATCCTGCGACAGCTTCTGTTATCGTAATTACCAAGAAAACTATCAAATAACAATATTTTACACGATTTTAAAATCCAACGTAATCTTTGTAATTATACAGAAGAATTCCAATAATTGATTCTTCTGATACAACAGTTCCGTGTACAAATATTTTTTCTCCTCAAAATGACGATTTTATTTTACAAATTAATTCAAATCTAATGTTTCGTATCCATTTGATGTAATCCGTTATCACGTGATTTGCTTCGATTTATTTCCTGTTTGAAATATTGAAAAAAAAAAAAAAAAATTATTTATAACAACAACAACAACAACAACAACAACAACAACAACAACAAAAACAACAACAATAATAATAATAATAATAATTAAAAACCAATTGTTCAGAGAACAATTGAAGGTCTTTCCACCAAAAACCATGAATTTTAATATGAAAGTAGTAGAATTAGTTTAAAAATGTCATTTTAATGGTCAAATGATAGCTTATTGTATGCTGATTCCAAAAATATATGGTTTCTATACAATATTTTTTTAAATAAGGGAGATAATTCGTTACTTCCGGTTTGAAAAATTATACTTCCGATACTATCTGAATATTTACTTGACACTGATTCCAAAAATATCTGGTTCTATATACTTTTATATTAAGAAAGTACAAAATATAGCTACTTCCGGTTTACACAAGGTCACTTCTGGTTGTTTTTTCAAGGTTAAATGGTTTGATACCTATTGCCAAAAGTCTCATGGCTTTATCATGTATACATATGAGGTAAAAGCAAAGGTCAAAATCTAGAACGTCAAATTAAGCTATGACCTTGAGATCAATTTCAAGGTCATAAACCAAGGACCTCAAATCAAAAGACCATAGGTCTTAATTATATTTAGTTAATGAGTTATATCACCATACGCGTATTTTTAAATACAAGAGGGGAGAAAACTCCCTTTTACGTTCAACGTACCCTTGCAATCAAAAATTACGTGTTACGACATGTCGCAAATAACAATTTAGTAAAAATAATTTGTCGATATCTTATACGGTTTTTGGAAATAAGTGAAAAAAAGCCAAATTCAAAATTTAGAATATGACCCTGACCTTTGACCTTGACCTAATTTTCATTTTTTTGGACCAAGGGCCTCAAATCAAAAGATCCTAGGTCTCTTTCACTTATGGTTTACAAGATAGAAATGCATATCACTTATATCAAATACATAAGGGGAAATAACTCTCATATGGAGCGTTCATATTGCTTCGGTCAAAATAGGACAAATCATGCGAAGGATATACATGTAACAAGCAATTTTATAAAAAAAATTTGTCGCTTTCCTTTACGGTTACGGTGGAGATGAAGTCACAAGGAAAACAGTGTTCGGGGAGATAACTCTTAGAAAGAAAATTGTTCGGCTTAGCATGGGTGAAAATAAAAAGCGCATAAACTATATGATACTATATAAGAAATATCTTAGCGACATATTGCGAAACAAAAATGTTACGCGAGAACAAAATTTGGCGGAAGAAAATAATAATAATCAGAACAAATACAATAGGTCTTTCCACAGAAAAGTGGAAAGACCTAATAATAATAATAATAATAAAAGTGTCCCATTTAAGGACTAAAACATATTTGGATTCTTTCTCTGCAGCAAGTCTTCACTCGAAACAGTTTAATTTTCAAATATGAAACGCAAAGCTTGCAAATTGTTTCCCCTGAAATTTGATGTGATCTCTTTTGGTGGTGGTCGGCAGTTGAATTACATATTTATACGTACAGAAACTATAACAGAGAGTCATTATTTTGCACTAGAATCACTCATTCTTTAAAAAAAAACAACATATTTATATCCTTTTGGTGGAGGCGGCGGCGCTCTTTCTGTCTTATACACTTTGTCTCTTTATTCGAAAATATATTTCTAAACGAATTACAATCTATCTATCGTTGTAGAACATTTAATCAAAGCATCAAACACATATGACATGCTTATCCAAACAGAAAATTCTATTGTTTGACAAGATATCACAGACAACGTTCACAAATTGTACAATTAATCAGTTTCAAAGCTTCAATTTTGCCAAAATCAATACAATTACAATACTATCAAACAAATCTCAAGTGTAATTTCTAGAATTGATGTAAGGAAAGAATAATCGTGACACCCATATTGATTCTAGGTCCTATTAGATGTGACAGCTTTATCAGAACAAATAAGACGTTGATAAAATAACATGTTAGGTCAGTAAGACAAGTTATTTTGCTTGTCTTTCAAAAGAGTGTCCCCTGTGGATATAAAGAATAATTAGATAATTATATAGTGTTAAGTTATAACAAAATTTACGCAGCGTTTAAAAAGACCATTGAAGGTTCATTTGCTGATGAAAGATAAGCAAAAGTGTGTTTTCAAATGAAGACGTACTCTTGGTGGACAGATGTCACTCGCTGTGTCTTATTAATAGAATAAGAACTGGTTAAAGTCACTGTTTTTTTGGAATAGAACACCATACAAATCACGTAGATTATAAATTATGAATAGCAGGTGCACACACCTTATTTTCTGTAGAAACATCTGTGCACGGTTGAATGAATTCTGTAATCCCGTTTTCAAGAAGTAGCGGATTAACAAGTTGACATAACCACATATTTTGCAACCCCCTTTTCTTATCAAACATGTTGATACATTGACGTGGTCATAATGTTTTATTTTACAGACCACGCAAAACAAATCATGCTCATACTACATATGAAATGTTTCCCTAGGCACCAAATCAAAAACTGGAACCATAGCCATAAATTTGAAAATTGACTATAAATATTGTCGCTTGAAATGGAACTTATTAAAACATATGAACAGTACTATCAAGGACAAAAGAACTTGTTACTGAACCGTGAAAGGCAAACCACATGCGCTGATCTGCAATCTATGTAATCTTACTTATGCTTCAACTGTATTTTTCGACGCGGTGTAAAAAGCATATCTTTGCTAGGCGTGAGAGCGATTTCCAAAATCATACTCCATGATAAAGGATCGAGACTAGAAGAGAGCAAGGCGTTGATAAGGACGTTAAATTGGCCTTTTATTAACAACTTACTATTAGTTTCGCTCAGGCCGCTTTATACTATCAGCAATATGCAATACCATCAAGCAACATCAAAGGTCAGAACGTAACCTAGAACACGTAATATAATCAACTTTAAACCTCAAATTTCAGCATTTGGATTTACGATGAATGTCGATAAATGTTTCATCAGTTAATAATTAGTTATCAACGGTACCAGGATTGACGCGCGTTTCGTCTACATAAGACTCATCAGTGACGCTCAGAATAAAATAGTTATAAAGCCAAACAAGTACAAAGTTGAAGAGCATTGTGGACCAAAAATTCCAAAAAGTTGTACCAAATACGGCTAAGGTAATCTATGCCTGGGATAAGAAAATCATTAGTTTTTCGAAAAATTCAAAATTTTGTAAACAGGAAATTTATAAAAATGACCATATAATTGATATTCATGTCAACACCGAAGTGCTGACTACTGGGCTGGTGATACCCTCGGGGACGAAACGTCCACCAGCAGTGGCATCGACCCCTACAATAAATAATGCATTTTTTCTATTTTTCTAAGATTCTCTATGCTTTTTTAGGGGCTTGTTTTACCACCATTATGATTGATTCTTTCTGACTCAACGTCCAGCGGCAAATAGTTCATGGATACTTAGTACAAAATCATCGCCACATTATAAGTATCATAATACGCTACGCTCTGGCATGAATGAAAATGATTGAAATTAACACATTTAAAACTAACGTCATGTTATAGATGTCATTAATGCATGATAATCATAAATAATCTCCCACACAAACACCATGAAATCTGCACTCTTTCAAACAAAACAAGCAAAACGCATCGTGACCTTTTGTTCTTGC